CCATAGTGGCTAATCACTGTTAGCTCTTGGTAAACATCTGTGAGTGAATGAAGCATGCTTAACGTCCTGGCTCTTAAACCAGAGCCCCGTCTACTGGGCTGCAGTGGACACAAGCAGACGGTGTCCCACCCACCATTTCTCCCTCGTGTTGCACCTGAGTCCCCTGGGCGGATACTCCCACGGTGAAGGTGGCAGGAATGGCCACAGTAGAAGGAGCTCCCCGCCGCCTGCATTTTATCTCTTGTTGGACCTCAGTGTCTTACTCTTGCGGTACCCAGGACATCCGTTAATTTCCCAAAGGATCATCCAGACAAGGAGGAAGCCCCAGCCCGCGAGGGTGTCTCCATCGTCCTATGCAGCCTCTGCCTTGCAGCTGGCTCCAGAAGCAGGGGTGTGCTTTCCCCTGGCCCTTTCCCCACAAGCTCACTACTTTGGGAAGTGGGTTTACTCATTACCAGTTCAACTGCCTGGATCGGAACAAAATGTAAACACATCTCTGTAGTTCTGTTTCTGTAGTTGATATTTGTAGAGCAGAAGCTTACTGTTTTGTGTGCTTAAAATCTTTGACTTACTTTTCCTGGCTAAACCATCATGTAGGAGGGATACTTACTACTCTTCTATTGAGGAAGACCCTAAGCAGTTAACCGTATCCTCACTGACACACGAAGGTCTCAAGCCCTTTCTAGTAACTCACGCAGAGTGCAGTGCCTTGTCTCATGTTTAGCAAATGGCAGGTAGTAAACTTCAGAATAAAAGCTTGATTTATAGAGTTTCAGCCCAGGATGTTTTGTATGTAACAGTAACTGTCTCCATTGAAAATGTTGAGTTTAATATTTTCAGCCAGCAATTTTAATGTTTTGGACACCTTTATTTCTAAGTAGATAACATATTTTCCTGTTATTTGCTGAGGTGCTGTGTTAAAGCCTGAGTTGCCACCCAGTGGAAACACGGAATGAAGGACTTGAATTCGTAGTAAGGGATAGTGGGTTCCATGGTGATGGGGACAGAGGAAGCGCTTGGGCCACAGTGTGTCGATGCAGCTGTGTGCATCCCTCCTCCTGCCTTGGTTTCTTCATAGCACATCTCCCCACCTGTCAGTGTGTACATTTATTTAAATGTCTACCTTCTGTCTCCGCCCCCTTAGAAAGCGTGCTCCATGGGAGGGAGAAGGGACTTTGCTATGTTTACAGCTCATTCTCTGACTCTCTAGAGGGGAAACCTTGAAATTCATGTTTGAACAGTATTTGAAGAGGCTTTAGATGGAAAGAACAATACAGGCAAAGTGTCCAAATGACCATTTACTTGGTTTCCGGCCCCCTCTATTATGCCAGCAATATTATTTTGTATTTTTTTTATTTATATAAATGGCTTGTGCTACCCATAATATGCCACTTCCCATCTTTTTCATTTGACAGTGTATTTTTGAGATATACCTGTTTTTAAAAAATGTGTAACTCTAGATCCGTAGTTCCCAACTGGGGGTGATTTTTGTCCTTCAGCGAGTGTTTGGCAGTGGCTGGAGACATGTTTGATTGTTTTTACTGGAGGAGGTCCTGATGATGTCGAGTCCACAGAGGCCAGGTTTGCTTCTAAACATCCTGCAACGCACAGGGCATCCACATCATAGAATTATGTGGCCCAGACCGAACAGTGCAGAAACCCTGGGCTCTTTCTTTCCTTTAATCTGTGGAATAGTAGTCCCTTGATAGCAATACCATGTTTACTTTATCCCTTCCCCTGTTGGTGGGCATTTAGCTTCTTCCAATTCTCTGCTGACAAAGGGGGCTGCGAAGAACATCCTCACCAGTGTGTGTGTGTGCGTGTGTGTGTGTGTGTGTGTGTAAGAGTGTTTCTGGTGGCCGCACTGTGTTCTAGGAAACACTTCCAAATGCCGCTTCAGAAGGGCTGGACCTATCGACACCCACAGCACTAACTGGGATTCCAATTCTCTGCATCATTTCCAGCATTTGATATTTTTTAACTTTTCAATTTTTGCCAACCTGAAGATGATAAATGAGTAGCTCATTTTAAAAAACCGCATTGTCTGATTGTTAATAAGGCCCCAAACATGAGTCATTCGCACCCCACAGCATTCTGCAAAGTGGGGGATTTGTTTTTGCCAAGCACACACCACTTCATTTTGTTCATCTCTGTGTCTTTGAAAAAGGCACATTTTGGGAGACCGGGCTTGACTGTTTCTGCCAGTAGAGGGCACTGTCCCTCAGTGGCTCTCCACCAGTGTCATTGTGCACCGCGCGCCCCGCCCCCCCCAAACATCTGGCAGGGCCTGGAGACACGTTGTATGTTTACAATATGGATTATCTACGGCACCTAGAGGATAGAGACCAGGGATTTTGCTAAAACCCTACAATGCAGAGGTCTGCACCGCACAAACAAAGACTTGTCTGGCCCCAACAGAGCCAGGGTGGAGAAACCATCATGTGGATGAAATCCTAATGTTTGAATCTTTGAAAGAAAGACCATGACAATCTCTAGGATAATGAAGCTATTTTAGTATTATTTAAAATAAGAACCACCTTTAAACCGTATGAAGTGGGCAGTAGGGGAGAAGCACGCCTTCCTGAGAAGGGTTTTCTCAGGGGCAAAGGCAGCAAGGGTGGGTGGGCAGGAGGGAGTGCAGGCCTGGACGTCAGCGGTGCTTCCTCGGGGCGGGCTCTGCAGGTAGGAGAGGTGGCTCTGGGGCTTGGCAGCTCCTGGCTGGAGTGGAGGGAGCTGGCCTGGCGGTCCGTGCCAGTGACTCAGGCAGGGGTAGGGCAGGGGTCAGCTGGGTAAAAGAAATGTGGGTTTGAGTGTTAGGAGGAGGTGGCCTTGGCTCTCAGGACTCAAGGGGGATGTCAGACTGCAGGAGGCCCAGGCCCGGGAGTGCTGATCTGCCCCCATCTCTCCAGCGAGGCTCTGTGACTGTGCCCTGGGCGGGTGGGGGTGGGGGGGTGCTCACAGCAGGGTGGGCGGCAGGCAGGGAAGGCTCAGGCAGGGCTGCTGTCAGGCCGGGGCTCAGTGTCCTCTTCTCGGAGGCGCTTGCACCGGGAGCAGATGCTTCTTCTCAGAGGCCCCGGCCTGGGCACAAAGACAGGGACCACTCCATTCCTCATCACGGGCCGGAACGCCGACAGCCTGGGCTTGGGGCTCTTAGACCTGAGAGGCCCGTCGAGCCGCCTTTGTCCTTCCTCGCATCGGCTGAGGGCCCTCAGCGTGGTCTCCTTGGCACAGGGTTCCGGGGACTCCTGGCTGGGCGGACATGTGGACAAGCTGCTTAGGCTTTCAACGGAGGCGGTACGGATGTCCACCAGGCTCTGCGTGTGGCAGGAGAGGCGGGCGTTCCACTGGGACCTCATCGTGAAACCGTTGCCATGGCCGGAAACCCTAGCCCCGAGAAGGTGCGGAGGGGCGGCTCGCTGGGAAGGCGCCTCCAGGCCTGGGGCACCAAGGACCCGCGGACCGGGTAGTACTTCCAGCTGCGCAGGATGGCGGGGAGCGGCCTGCTGCGGAACCAGAGCCCGCGATCCTGGCGGCGGCGGGGGTAGCACAGGATTTGGCACCCGTCCCGGCCATCGGGAGGCAAGTTCCGCGGGCGGCCCGGTCCATGGGAACCATGGGGACCGGCGCTTCCGGGCGTGGGCTGGCTGCGTGGCCTTGGCCATGCCCAGGTACATACTCAGGTAGCTGCCCATGCTCATGGGTCAGCGGGGTCGGACCTTTGACGGGCTTTGGCTTCTGGGCGGCCCCGAAGTCTGTAGACGCGAAGCTTACGGCGCTGAAGCTTACGGTTCGTGGGGCGTCGGAACCTCTGGGCATGAGGTCCTGCGTGCGCCAGGCCGGGGCCTCGCGGACTCACTCGGGGCCTCGCGGACCCACTCGGGACCTCGCGGACTCACTCGGGGGCCCGCAGACCCACCCGGGGCCCCGCGGACCCACCCGGGGCCTCGCGGGGTGCACCTGTGTTCTGAGCACAGGGGATCCTTCAGCTCCCACTGCTGGCCCAGGCGCTTGGCTCTGGGTGGCGGGGGAGCCCTCCACTTTTTGCCCTTGACATTTAAAGGGAGAAAATATAATAATTTGTACCAGGCCCTGAAAATTGACTGAAGGGCACTCTCTTTCATTACTGTAAAAATGAACAAAATGCACTTGAATGCTCCTTTAAGGAAAAAGAGCGAATTTACTTGTATTTCTACAGAGGCTGTGTGTTTCTTCTAGAATGGTTGCTAATGTCACTTTTTGTAATTTTATTCTTAAGGACCTGGTGAAAGCCTTTCGGGACTTATTTTTTAGCTCCAACAACGTTGGTTTGTTGTGGATTCTCCTCTTATTTTCTGCGTTCATAGATTTCATACATTCATATGTAGATTGTCTCTAATCTGAACACTAATGCCATTTCTTTCTTGTCATTTCTACTGGTGATCCAGGGATACAGAGTAGAGTGAGGCACATTTCCAATTTATAGTTGGAAGCAGGTACCCGCAAAAACAGTGTTCAAAGCCTGCTGGTAAATGTTACAGCACTTCAGTCTGGAGGTCTGTTGTTGGGCCGACCCCAGTTACTGGAGTAGGAGAGGGGTGGAAACAGTGGCCAACAGAGGAAGCAAGTCCTCGATCAACAGATTTGTCTGGTTCTGAGAGGTGGAAGGCTGAATGAAGAGGACACTAAAAAGATCCTGATGAGGAAACACAAAAGGCTTTTGTGTCAGAGAGGCCAAGAGTTGAGGAAACAGGGATGCTGTCAGCTAACAGGTGATGAAGAATGAGATACGTAATGCCCTCTACTGAGCCATTCTGTTTTTTCTTTCTTTTTTGGTAGATTCCTTATTTTAGGAATGATCCCCAAGTCTATTACTTTGAAATAAAGGAAATTTCCTATATTATTTTCTTCTTACTAGGCCATTTCTTCACCTCTTAAGATGGTAATAACACCAGAGTGGAATGTCTAATGCAATTTGGTGTTATTCGCTCATAATGTACTTTTTTTCTTCCCATCATCTGCAGAATTTCCCACGTCCTACTTTGCAACGTAACCCAGCGCGTGTCATTCTGGTTTGTGGTTACCGATCCTTCAAGGAATCACACCCTTCCTGCTGTTGAGGTACAGTCAGCCATAAGGTAATCACCGCTAAATATGCCTTCCACTGGTAAATCAAGTTGTTGATTAATTCAGCTGTTTTGATAGATTTTGAAGACTTCTCTCTCTGGTTCACAGTGATTTATTTATTAAGATGTCAAAGGCTTCATTTCGTTACTTTGGAATAGAGATTAGTATAGATCAGTGGTTCTCATCCAGGGGCAGTTTTGCCTCCAAGGAGACATTAGGCAATGTCTGGAGACATTGTTGTTGTACAGTGCTGGTGACGGAGTAGGCAGAAGTTAGGGACGCCAGTTAACATCCTCCTGTGCTCAGGACAGCACTTCACAACAAAGAACTATTCAACCCCAAATATCCATTGTGCTGTGGCTCAGAAGCCCTGGTTTAAACATTAGCTAAGAAGGTTTAGTACTGTCTTCTTTTGGCGAGAACACCTTATACGGCACTATTGTGTGATGGTTCATCATATGCCTTCTCGAGCCCGAATGCTTACGTGTTTTTTGGTTTTTTTTTTTTAGGGGAGTATAGTTGCTTTGCAGTGTTGTGTTAGTTTCTACTGTACAGCAAAGTGAAAGTCTTTACCTTTAAAAGATAATTTTTTGAAAAAAAGGTAAAAGCACGACTTTCATACAAATTAAAAATAAATGCTATCAAAGATTTTATTATCTTATTAGTTAATGAGGGAACTAGTAAGATGTTAAAACCAGTTTAAAGGAGACTTCAAGGCAGCATGCAAATGCAGGAATTGAAGAATGGTGATGTTTATTTATTAAAAGATACACCAGTCTATCCATTGACAGTGCTCCACCAGACACAATTCACCTTGATTTTCTGTGGACAAGAATCATTTACATTGTATCAGTTTTCTCCAACTTACAGATATGCAAAATAACTCAAAAACAATAAAAGGTGGAAACTGTCCAGAAAGGTAGATTTGCAGGACTCTCAGTCATATTTTTCACCCATTTGAAGTTTTACCCATTTTTTCCTGACAGTTCCCCATCTCCTCTCCTTGGGATTATAACAAACTTTCAGAAGTGAAATGTATTCTTTTCTGCCCAGAAGCAGAGGAAGCAGTTTGTTTTCATTTCAATTAATATGCACTTTATGTGTATCAAAACTTCATATCCCACACATGATTGGTGTTGGGCAAAGGTGTACTGGAAGAATGAGTTCACAAAATAAACTATTTCCTGAAAAAGAATGAAACAAAGTTCACTCTTCTTACAAAGGATTTATTTACAAGTTACTGAAATGCATATTTTTTCTCGTTACCAAAGAGAAATATCTAGTGAAAGAACTCATCTGCTCTTTGTAAAATATCAGTGTTTAAGATAATGAGTGTATAATCAAATGCCAAGTGCTTTTGTGTGAATAATCATCTGTTTCCCTTGCTGAAGCAAAGGCATTGAGGCTCTAGACCCATGGGGAATGATTTAACAAGGGTTTCTTTGTTTTGTTTTTTTAATAAATAAATAAATTTATTTATTTTGGCTGCGTTGGGTCTTCGTTGCTGTGTGCAGGCTTTCTCTAGTCGCGGCGAGCAGGGGCTGCTCTTCGTTGCGGTGAGTGGGCCTCTCATTGCGGTGGCTTCTCTTGTTGCGGAGCACGGGCTCTAGGCGCACAGGCTTCAGTAGTTGTGGCTCAAGGGCTCTAGAGCACAGGCTCAGTAGCTGTGACACACGGGCTTAGTTGCTCCGCAGTATGTGGGATCTTCCCAGACCAGGGCTCGAACCCGTGTCCCCTGCATTGGCAGGCGGTTTCTTAACCACTGCGCCACCAGGGAAGCCCTAACAAGAAGGTTTGAGCCAAATTGTTTCTGCACTTTTGCCAGTAAGAATACTGCTAAGAGCCACTACTTAGGGAGTAAGAATTAGGAATATTGTATTTCATGAGAAAAGGGATTTTATTCAAGCCCTGTGATGAGGGAGGGCTACAAGGAAAATGAAGGCCCTGTGGTTAAACCAGGCTTCAGTTAATGTGAGGAGGAGGAGTGAGTGTTTAGGGTGAAGGTTGAAGATCTAGAGGAATGTGTTCACAACAAAATGTCTGTTTCAAAGGCCCTAGTAAGAAGGGCTATTGAGGGGGTGAGGATGGCCAATAGAATGGGAATTTATGTCCGGGAATGGATAGGACTCATCAGAATTGTATGAAAATAAAGGAAACAGTACCAAGAGGGAAGGATAGACTGAAAAGAAAGGAGATGGTACCTAGAAGGCAGGCAGTAGGAATTTCAAGGCTGAAGAACCTATGTGGTTGGGCAAAATAATGCTAGTTCCGCCTAATGCTTGCATAATATTTTCTGGTTCACAAGGCATGTTCTGATGCGTCTGTGGCATTTAGTATCAACACCAATCATTTGTGAGCTATTATTATTATCCCTGCTTTATAAATGAGGAAATTGAGGCTCAGGGAGATTAATTGATTTGCTCAGGTCACCTAGAAAAATAGAGAGTGACGACTTGAACGCAGGCATGCTGCCAGCACATGCAGTGATTTTTTTTTTTCTCCCGGTCTGCTAGAGTATCCACACCTATGGAATTAGGCGAGGGGATGACAGACCAGTTTTAAGATGTCTGCTTTTGATCTGTTTTGAGGGCCTGGCCTTATTCAAGGCCAATCTTGTCTAGAAGATATCCATGGTGATTGACGCCTCTTGGGGATTTCAGTGGTAGATGGAGATATAGTTTGTACTAAACTAGAATTTCTTATCAGCCTGAGTGCTAACCAACCAGGTAGACAGAATGAGAATGCAGAGCAACTTTTCAGTTTACTCTGTTATACCTTGGTAGTGGGGTTCATTATTTTGTGGGAAGTTTTTTGTTACCGTGTTAGCAAAATTAGGTTACGAAAAAAGAAAACATTCCGTAGTTTGATAAAAATTGCATGGAAATTATCCCCTGCTGCAGATTCCCTGGCTGGGATTCTCCTTCCCATTTATGAATAATCAGGCCTCCCCATAGATTTTCATTTGCTAAAGGAGGTCTTTCCTGATACCCTGGTGCTGGTCTGCAGAGATTCTCCAGCTTTTACTCTCAGGTTCAGGATCAGTAGTCACCAGCCACATGTGGCTCTCAAGCACTTGAAATGTAGTTAGTCCAAGATTAGATATGCTGTAAGTGTAAAGTACACACCAAATTTCAGCGACTGAGCACAAAATAAAATGTGAACCAACTTAAAATTGATTACATGTTGAAATTATATTTTCTTGGATATAGTGGGCAATATATATATATATTTTTTTAAATATTTATTTATTTGGCTGTGCTGGGTCTTAGTTGCGGCACAGGGGAGCTTTAGTTGTGGCATGTGGAATCTTTAGTTGTGGCATGTGAATTCTTCGTTGCGGCATGTGGAATCTAGTTCCCTGACCAGGGATCGAACCTGGGTTCCCTGCATTGGGAGCTCAGAGTCGTAACCACTGGACTTCTGGGGAAGTCCCAAAATATATGTTATTAAAATTAATTTTCCCTGTTACTATTTACTTTTTTTTTTTAAACGCAGCTCCTAGAAAATTTGACATCACACGTAAGGTTCACGTTATATTCTGGTTTCAGTGCTACTCTGGAGGTTGTTGAAGTCAGCTTGCCTAGTGTGAATTCAGTAAAGGCCACACAGTTATCTCCAAGAAATCTCCTCATCTAATTTGCAAATTCCAGTTAGAAATTTAGTTTCAGTCAAATAAGTTTTTGCTACCAACCCCTACCTAACTGCCACCAACCGCTCCCTAAGTGCCACTACCACCAAAGATACAGATTTTCCCTGGGAAAAGTAATGCATTTACCTTCATATTTTTCTAGACTTTTGTACTCCTAAAGCACCATTTACTTTAGTCATATGGAACTACTTGCAGCTGACGCAACAAATCATACTACATACCATGTCTCCAATTCCTATGCTCACTGCACACTTTGGTCTAAAGAACTCCTACTTGTCCCTCAAAGCACAGCTCAAAAGTTGCCTTCTTAGGAAAGCAGCTGTGACATTTTACTATGATGTACTTACCCCTCTGCTGTGCTCCCACTGTGCCCATATTTACCCCTTGCACTGTGATTGCACTGTGATTGTGGAGGGACTGATGGGCCACTCTTCTAGACTGTAAGCTCCTTGGGTATTTTTATTTCATTTTGTATCTCCAGCACCTAGCACAGGATCTGGTACTTAGTAAGTTTCCAGCAAATGTTTGTTGAATTGAATGAAAAAAAAAAGATCAAATTGATGGATTTGCAGCTGCTCCTGGCTTCGTGTTCTCTTTTCTGCTGCTGGTTTTGTTTTTTCTTCTCATATTTATCACCCACTTTTTGCATATTATTTTATCTTTTCAGGCTGTTGGTATTTATGTAAGGCACCTTAAATAGAGTTCTGTCATTTTAATCTAGATGCTGCCTCTCAGGAAATAAAACATGGTGGGCAGAGCTCAAAGCTCAAGACTTCCAGTTACTTCTAGGACATTATCAACAGTGGAGGGCAGTAGTACATAGAGAAGCATCTTTCTGGCAACCAGCACTGCCACTTATAGACAGAAAACCACAGCATGATTTGTCCTTATCAAACTGTCTGTTCAACCTGAAGTCTCCTGCTAGGGGGATGCTCTGTTTATAGAGATAGTTATAATCGTGGGGAGATAGGGTTATACCTTCTGTTTCTAATGTTTCTTCTGTCTTGTTTCATTTGTTTTTAATCCTCATTGTATTTTAGAATGAATAGGAACCGGATCAACAATGCCTTCTTTTTGAATGACCAGACTCTGGAATTTTTAAGAATTCCTGCCACTCTTGCACCACCTACTGACCCATCTGTGCCCATCTGGATTATTATATTTGGTGTGATGTTTTGCATCATCATAGTGGCAACCATGCTATTGATTTTGTCAGGAATCCGGCAACATAGAAGGTAAGATATTTAAAGGGAGTGATTTAAAGAACATTTTCTTGTTTACTCATGACTTGGAAAAACAAGGAGAGGATTTTCCCCTAGATGAAGAAAATGTGTTATATCTGAAACTGAAAAAATTGGTGGTTTTTCAAAATATCACTTATGCTCTTGTTTTTGGAGACTTTTTGGAGTCCATGTCCCTTAGTTAACTATGGGTCCTTCCATTACTATCTTTCTTTCTATTCTGTTTTATATCTAGAGTTGGTTTTAATATCTGGGTTATGATTTTGTAAGCTGGATATACAGAGCTAAGCAGACTTTTTGGGTAGGCAGAGTTAATCTTTGCTAGTCATCCACCTCCAAAGACTAGTAGTTCCGTAGTCCTTTTCATGCCTCCTCACCTTGGCCTGCCTTTTCCAGTGCCTGCAGCCTCCACCTTGTACTACACACTTTTGCGATGTTTTATATTCCCTCCCTTTGATGGATGCTCTTCCCTCTAGTGCCTATGATTTTATATAGACCCGTGTTCTTCACAGTGGCCTTTGAATCAACTTCCTGCATCAGAATTGCCTGGAACACTTGTTTAAAATATAGGTTCCTTTGCCCTACCACAGACCCACTAAAGTCGATTCTCTGAAGGAGGTGCATTCTTTTAACTGAAGTTTAGTTGATGTACAATTGAAGAAAATATGTTTTAATGAATATCTAGGCTATTCTAATTCACTTAGTTTCAGAGCTTCCAAATTAAGTACTTACATTTAGATTCCCACTCCTGGAGTTCATTTAGCTGGATTCTGGAGCACATGCAAACTTTGCTGTCAAATTTATTGGTATTAGAGAATTTCAGACCAGTGGGAGAGTTATTTAGGTAGAGAGGAGACAAGATTTCTTAGCACAATGAAAGGAGAAAATAATTTTGTTTACAAGCACCTCTGATCCAGAGGGGAAGTGAAGAGAGTCCTTAACTCTTCAGTAGACACTCTGATGCTTCTAAACCTTCCCTTCTGATACCAAGGAAGAGGAATTCTGGTAAGTGGAATCACAGGCACACACATTGGTTTTCAAAACGGTTGGTTCCCACAGGGGACATGCAGGTTGTGTTTGGCCAAGTGTGTGTTTGACTAAATGTTTCTCCTGAGACTTTCTACTTTCCATATTGTTCACCCTGGTTATTAGCAGAAGGTAATCATTTTAAATTGGGGGCTTTATAATTTTTTTCACAAATGGTAAGTGAAATGCTATGGAATAAATGTGATTTATGTGTAGTGCCCAAATTAAGCTCAAAGATTGAGATCAAGTTGTACTTGCTTGCTTTTATTGCTCTTGGCATGACACATAATGCTGAGAGGCTTGGTACAAATTATTAATCTGTTTTGTTTTGTTTTTCAGAATATTAAGAAATATTCTCTTGTAGTATTTGAATACCTATGTTTAATAGTTTTAAGTTTTATATTAATCCTGAAATGCTAGGATTCTATGGTTTCCAACAACTGTAACCTTTGTGAATTCACGCCATCTCCTTGGTTCCCAATTTCCTCACTAGTACAATATGGTGAAGGAGGTAGAAGAATGGGCTCTGGAGATAGACTGCTTGGATTCAAAGTATTTATTGCCTAGACTCTGCTCTTGTATGTAATCCATTAACTGCATGGATATCAGGAAATACAGGCAATGAGTCAGGGAAACCAAGCTCAAGAGGATATGGTTTGTGGTGCTCGAGTCAAGTTGGTTAAATTTTTCTTTACTGTCTGTGCGTAGATAACTTTGCTCGAGTGACAGTGAGGTATATTAGAAAGAATTAATTTGCTGGGATCAAAAGAGTTAATAGAGTTCTTGAAGTAGTGCCTGGCACTACTGCTGTTAGCTGTTACTGTTATTTTATTATCCTGCCAGTTGCTGGTCTTTCAGCTCGTTAGTGCTGGGATCAGCTATCTCTTCCTTCTGAGCAGATTCTGCAGTAATATAATAACTGAGTGTGTAGCATCATAATCTGTTGCCCAGGAGAAGGGAGGCTGTTGTCACAACCTTGCCTTCACAAATTTAGTTCATGTTCAAACCAGGAAACAGATGGACAAATCTCCTGTGTCAACCTGGAGAGCATCAATAATTAGCAAATAGAGTCAGGACAGTTATGACAATCTTCTGAAGAGGAATTAATTTGTTGGGTTTTACATTTGGTACGGAAAAAATTTGGTGGGTTTTTCTTGGGCAAAGTATTGCTTCAAAGGTGGGGAAAGAGTGCAGTTTGAAGTGGGGAGAGCCCTGATCATTGTGATGAAAGCCTTTTCTAATTGTGGAAAAATAGGAGTTGCCCCTGAAAGCCTTTAGTGGTGAGGAAGACAAAGATTTGTTCAAGAATCCAATTCATACATTAGATAATAATGAACATAGTTTGTGTGATACAAAATCTTAAACCTAGAAGACGAGGAGGGACCACAGGGTCATCTGAATCACCATTCTGCTTCTGCAGAGAAGAGTGCCCGTGTCGTCTGAGACATGTGCATCTTTATACTTACTACTGAAGAAATTGCTCAAGTAAAGCTTTAACTATTCTGGTAGCTGTGTCAATAACAGCATTCCTTTGACTGTTCAGAACCGCTGGGTGGAAAGTATGCAGTCACTGGGGGCCCAAACTAGGTGAACTCAAATACTAGTTATACCCTTTAGCTGAGTGACCTTGGTTGCATCATGTAATTTCTGTGGGTCTGTTTCTCCATCTGTTATAGGGAGATAATGTCTCACAGGACTTAAATGAGGATTGGGTGAAAAAATGTGTATAAAATACCTAGGTTATAGTATGTACTAAATAAACAGTAATTAGTATTATCCAAGATGAGCTTAACCCATTTCTGTGATTAAGGGATGCTGGAAAAAGATCTCTTTTCCATCCAGATATTGCCACCGTACTGCAGAAGATTTTCCAGTTCAATGGCTTATTGCTTGAGATTTTATTAGTTAACAAACACCTATTTGATTTTTTATTTTTTCATAAATATTTTATTTTATTTGACCATGGAAGTTTATCAGTATATATTTGACTATGTTCCTCAACCAATATAACTACAAATGAGGTACAGCAATGCCATTCCAACTGCATGATTTTAAGAAATTTATTCTGACATGGTGCCTAGACATTTTCTCCCACAAATTAGCCCCACTCCTAAGGATCAAGCAAGGTTGGCGATGGTCTTTGGAGAATATGGTCTTGACCATGGGCTCAAATCTCAGGTAGAGTTGGGTTTTTTTTGGTTTTTTTTTTTAACCATCTTTTTTTGGGGTAAAATTGCTTTGCAATGGTGTGTTAGTTTCTGCTTTATAACAAAGTGAATCAGTTATACATATACATATGTTCCCATATCTTTTCCCTCTTGCGTCTCCGTCCCTCCCACCCTCCCAATCCCACCCCTCTAGGTGGTCACAAAGCACCGAGCTGATCTCCCTGTGCTATGCGGCTGCTTCCCACTAGCTATCTGTTTTACGTTTGGTAGTGTATATATGTCCATGCCACTCTCTCACTTTGGCACAGCTTACCCTTCCCCCTCCCCATATCCTCAAGTCCATGCTCTAGTAGGTCTGTGTCTTTATTCCTGTCTTACCCCTAAGTTCTTCATGAACTTTTTTTTTCCTTAGATTCCATATATACATGTTAGCATACGGTTTACGTTTTTCTCTTTCTGACTTACTTCACTCTGTATGACAGGCTCTAGGTCCATCCACCTCACTACAAATAACTCTATTTCATTTCTTTTTATGGCTGAGTAATATTCCATTGTATATATCTGCCACATCTTCTTTATCCATTCATCTGTTGATGGACATTTAGGTTGCTTCCATGTCCTGGCTATTGTAAATAGAGCTGCAATGAACATTGTGGTACATGACTCTTTGAATTATGGTTTTCTCAGGGTATATGCCCAATAGTGGGATAGCTGGGTCATATGGTAGTTCTATTTGTAGTTTTTTAAGGAACCTCCATACTGTTCTGCATAGTGCCTGTATCAATTTACATTCCCACCAACAGTGCAAGAGTGTTCTCTTTTCTCCACACCCTCTCCAGCATTTATTGTTTCTAGATTTTTTGATGATGGCCATTCTGAACAGTGTGAGATGATATCTCACTGTAGTTTTGATTTGCATTTCTCTAATGATTAATGATGTTGAGCATTCTTTCATGTGTCTGTTGGCAGTCTGTATATCTTCTTTGGAGAAATGTCTATTTAGGTCTTCTGCACAGTTTTGGATTGGGTTGTTTGTTTTTTTGATATTGAGCTGCGTGAGCTGCTTGTAAATTTTGGAGATTAATCCTCTGTCAGTTGCTTCATTTGCAAATATTTTCTCCCATTCTG